GGAATCGATTTGAATTTCAACCGACTTCATTAGAACCCAGCTTCTATTGTCACGCGATTATCTATTACAAATCCTTTTAGCTCTAATAGACTGGTCGCTAGTGTCTATTGTCACGTCACGGTCAAGTGGAATTTCCATTGACCCCTTTGCTAATCCGTCCGATTCTTTCGTCGCTTACTAGTTTTCGTGTTTTCTTCTTCTTTTTCCCTCTTATGAAGTAATAAGTAATGACCGAAAAAAGTAAAGGCGTTATCCAATTTCTCATGAATGGTCAATGGTTAAAAGCGAAATAAATGTGTTAGACATCTAAGGTCATATAGCACTATAGGAAGGTATAGTAAAGGGGGATGTCAGGTGATAGTTGCTATGCATCAACTATCTAGAGTAATGTTGAAAGGTTGAAATTGGGCAAGGGTTGATGAGGGAAAGGGTTAATTTCTCATGAAAAATAATGGCAGTACTATCAATGTCAAAGAAGTAATGGTGTTACATAACACGGTTATTAATAATAACGTTTCTCCCACTGCCTGTACATATTTTGCAGGCTAGTGTAGGTACTGTGTCTGATGGATAAACCGGCACTGATAATGGGTACACTACTACTGTACAAACGCCTTCGTAATTATATAAATACTGACACCAGCTCTTTGGACTTGACGGTACGATATATCTCTCCATACTCTAAAATTAGGCTATCAAACCAACTTTTAACAATTTCGAAAGTCTATTAAGGTAAGTTTTACCTTTAAATTGTTGGTCATTTTCCCGTATTGGACGATGCCTCTGAATGAACGACTTCTTTGTGCTCCACTCAGTCATTTTGAAAACTTAACATTCATTTAACACATGGGTAATACAGTATCAAAAGGAGCTATAAGGAATGTCGTTCAACAGTATATGACAGTGCAAGTACAGTGTACTACCAATGGCAGTCACAATGCTCTGGTGTCCCCTGGGGGCCTGGCCTGATGGAGTGCGTGGGCACTGGTCAAGAAGCGCAACTGGAGCCGAGGTCCGTACAGCTCTACTGCAGGAATGGTCGTAGACTACATACACAAGATAAAATAAATGTGCAAATAAAATCTTTCACAAACTATATTTTTGGTAGAATTAGTAATTAGTGTTTATAATTCCCCACAAACTTTATGAATTCACATGAAAGTTCGCAGACTAAAAGCGAGAAGTGTTTCCCCCAAAAGTCCAACGTCAGGCCATTTGCCATAGATCAAGGAAACTCCCTCGAAGTGGAACACTGATATTGAGCAAAATTTAGACGCATCACGGATACTATTTGTGGGAAATTTTAAACTTTGCATGATCAGTGATGAAACTATATGCCTAATTTGTTGTGAATTATAAATCATCAATTTAATATTATGAAGAAGATTAAGGGGAAAGGTAAATTTTTTAGTTTTTGAATAAGCAACTTTCGAAAGATGCACGCATGAGAGAGACGCGTGTTTTGGTTTTCTCTCTCCTTATTTCAGATCGTATGGATTATTATTATTTTGCTCAATGTTTGTGTCTTTTTTGGGATTTGGTATGTATGACTTCAAATTTTGATAAATAAAGAGTGGTGGAACTGTTTTTACTATGTTATTTAGTTCATATGTTTGAAAGTACAATTATATTAGTGGAAGAAGAGAGGAGGCGTAACATAAACGCCATGCCATTCCTATGCGAATCAACGCTTGGAGATCGTTGAATGTCTGAGCGGTCCTCCAATATAAAAATCAGATCTTGTGGAGAGCTGTATATGATGGTGCCCATTTCTGAAAGGTTATTATTGGAAATTTCTCACAGGTATGGTATGAAGTAGTATTTAATCCCAGAATTCTCCACACTATTCATACGTCTTTATATGCCCTTACTGCTGACTTACTGCAGAAATAGGATTAGTAAGAGTAAAAGTTGATTTCCTATAATCTGTTAAAGTTGTAAACTCGTAACGGTACCCTCAGTTGAAATGAAATGAAACAATGCAACAAACCTAATTGCCATTATGACCGTGTTTGCGTCACTTCATTGCAATATTCTGTATCTATAAAAAAACCTACATGGCTTCAGTAACCTGGTATTTCATGAAGTTTAACAAGCACCATTATTATTATTATTACAATATAACATTATTCAAAAGCATTGAATAGCAATAGTAATCATTTAAAAACAATCTCAAAAGTAAATTATAGATAACATTTCCGTTCTCAATTTCCTGTGGATACGTCAGAATCGTGCAAAATATTCCAAAAGTTTCTTTCAAGGAGAATAAAAAGTCAAGATTGATTTAAGGTCTCTATTAACCACCATTTACAACCTAAGCATGTGCAAAATAGCTGATTGTCTTTTTATTTTAATGTACATTTCAACAGTGATCTGATTCGCTTAGAATATCATGTACAAGTCAGCTTTAACATCTGTTTTTAACAACATTATAAGAGCACTTTTTAAGATCTATGTCTTTTCATATATTTGTGGTTCTCTAGATTACAGTTCTAAACAATCTACCTTTTTGTTATACAACCTCGTTCTCATATTAATGCAATTAACATTCTTTACACACAATTTATTTTTGTACAGAAATGCTACTTAAAAAAATGGTGGGGGAAAATGATGATTATTAAATTGTTATATTTTTTTAAAAAACAAATTTAATCGAATGACACTACAAGTCAAATCAACTTAAAAGATCCTGATGTATACAATTCACATTTTGTCAATTTATTTCGTCATATACCAGACAAAGGAAGACCTTAGGACAAATACTTTGTTAGGTAAAAGTATCTCTGTATTCATTTGCTACAGAATCAATCAAACATTCAATTATGGCGGAAATAAAAATATCATATATACATTTCTTTAAAAATCCCTACAAGGTAGGTAACAGGGACAAATACTCTAAGATGGAAGTGTGAATTAAGACGCAAAGAGAAAACACTGCATCTTGGGGGGAGGGGGGGAGGAGAGGAGAGAGTATGAGAGCACATATTTCGCTTTTATATCCTCGATCCAAATGAAACTATTCACCACACACGGGATTTACAGGAAGCGAGCAAGGAAGGGGAGGGCGAGAGCCAGGAGCGGGGCGAGGGAGAGGGAGGGGGTGCCGTTGCATAAGTCCTCGTCGCACTGGCAGACGTCAACGATGTAGTCGTCGGAACGCTTCTGGTAGCATTCACGGTCCTCTTTCCTCTCGTAGCCACAGTCACGGAGGATGCGGATCTCGTTCTCTTGGTAGACTGGAAGATGGAGAGGAAAGATTAACGGTCGTTTCCTGGTGTGTTTTTTTCTTTTCTTTCTTTTACTTAACCGTCGGCAGGCTTGGGGGATGAGAATGGCTTTGGAAGATGATGATTAAGAAGGGTGGAACAGTTGTGTGTGGTATTGATGCTAATATTGAACGAAGGGAGGTGTGAAATAGAGGCAACTTCAGTAGGATCACAATGCATGAAAACTTGACCAAATGGAATATCTTAAAATTATCAACAAATCAAGGGTCAAGATGCAATACTGGGCGTCATGCCAACTCATAGTCGAGGCTAATAAATGTAGTCATTCAAATCAAATATCAGTTAAATAATAACAAAGGAAGGGGTCAATCAGCACAAAATATACACAAGTAAATAAATTGATGAATATATGAATACAGATGTATGCATGTGTGTATATATATATATATATATATATATATATATATATATATATATATATATATATATATATATATATATGTATATATATATATATATATATATATATATATATATATATATATATATATATATATATATATATATACACACATACATATATACACATACACATATATATACATAAATATATATATTATCATATACTATATTATATATATGTATATAAATATACATATATCATACATCTAAAATAAAAGTAACAAAGCAAAGTCATCAAGCAAATATCTTCACATTTACATCGGCAAAGGCTTATGGGTTTTCCGAATTCAGTATCATTCAATATTAATTCTGCATTTTTTTGTATTTATTTATTTTTTATTTTATTTATTTTTTGTGTGGGATGAGGGTGGGGTGTGAATAGAGAGGAAAAAGATTCATAGCATTCGAAAAGTGAAAATAAAACATCCATACAGCATTCCTGGTCCCATTATTCCAAGCTTTTTAATACTTATCTCCCTGGCGATTGAAACTCACCAACTTCAACTGAAAAAAATAAAATGGTAGCTGTCAAAAAAAGCAAATGTGTATAATACCTTGTGTAACCTCTCTACTGTGCCTGAAACTTTCCCAAAACTTCAAAATCAGCTGATCTTCAAGCGCATCAGGTTTTACTCAAAGGTTCTTAAATGCAAATAATTGGTCGAACGTTATTTATTTTATTCATAAGCCAATAGTCCTTTTTATTGGCACTGGCACTGTAGGGAGGTTACCCAGAAGGGAATACCGGGTGATGACATGCATATTTATGTTTTTATCTAAATCTATAAAATTAACTGATTCTTAAAGAAGTAAATGAGGAATCTAGTAATAAAGGCCAAGTCTATTTTGTGTCTTGAGCGAAAAATTAAATTTTATATATATATAAAAATTACTATCAGCATGCGGAAAAATCTATAAAAAATAATTAACTTTATCTGCATTTTACTATTATGTACTAAACTAAACCATATTTAGTATGGATTGAAGAAAGACAAACTTATTTGTAACTGAAAAACAACTTGACTTTAAACTACATTTTTCCATGACGCATGCATAACTCTAGACTACATCTAATCCAAATTACTGTAAATATATATAATTAAAATTATTTATGCTTACTAAATTACAGAACTTGACCAAAATGAAATCTGCTGGCTAATGAACAATGATACTGAACACAGTTTTATAAAACATTCTGCAAAAAGAAACAATTGTGAGTCTTTATGAAAGTGCGTCAGTGTCTCAATCCTAGTTGGCAGAGAAAGGTCTTTGTGTCTAGCCAATGGAAGCAGAAAATTCGTAGCATAGCAACAGCAATTTTAAAATGTTTGTCTGACGCTTCAAAGTCCCGAATTATCAGAAAAAAAAATATCCTGGGCAAAATTTCCATGGTTCGATGATGAAATAAAAGTAAACTGTGGGTTTTGTGTTTTAGGGTGTTTTTTAAGTATACTACATGGTGTACTTTATTGGCATGCACTACACTACCTTTTATTGGGTGGTCTGGAGTCTAATTGTGTAATTTTGTTAGTCGTCAGCAATTTAGAGCTAAGATAATCTAAACTTCGACAATATTTATACTGATGTTAGATTCTAAATTCTAGAATCCGTAACATGCACTTGTTTTGATAGTTCTTAGTGTTTGTCTAAGCAAATTTATACCAGAAACAAAAACACTATACACGAAAGTAATTCCTTGTGAATAGTATTTTCTCCGTCATTTAAAAAATATCAAAACAGTATAGTTGTTTTGTCGTTCGCGAGTATATGATTCGTCTCTGTCTCTAAGCTACGTGACGCGCCGAACTCACTGTCCATCCTCATCTTGCGGCAGAAGGGCGTCTGGTTGTCCTTCTCCTCGCAGGTCTTGATGAAGGCGTTCTGGAGGGCCGTGGAGTTGACCTGGAACTCGTCGGAGCAGGCCTGGTCCTCGTGCGAGTTGCACACGAAGCACTCCAGTGCCACGGCTGCAACAGAGGTAAGCGGTGTTAAGGGCGAGGAGGAATGATATTGAAAGTAACGTAGCGATGGCGATACAGTTACTGTTATTGCTTCTAATACTAGTACTAGTAATAATATAAAATAGTGCTAATAATAATAAGGGCAATAGCAGTAGTAATTGTTGTAGTAGCAGTAGTAACTATGATAATAGCAGTAGTAGTAACAATAAAATTAATGACAATAATAGTAACAATAATGATGACTAACAGAATCACTCTTTTAAGAAGAGAATAAATATAATTTCGCAGTGGATAGTTGATATAAAGATACGAGTTTCATGATAAAAAAAAAAAAAAAAAAGAAAAAAAGGTAATGCGGATGAATTTCATAAAACTATTCCTTACCCTGATATTCGATTTACAAATTCCGCTCCACGCTACAAAAGGTAAACACTGACTTAACTCTTAACACCGAAACCTGGACTCATGCATTACATTCATAATTCGTTAAGGTCACCCCTGCTAATTTAAAGCGTGATTTTAACCTCTATCGCACATAAAACATGGATCCCTGAGAAATACCTGTATGACAGAGGTAGAGCTAAAATCCCTGCGTTTGTCATGGCGTTCAGTGACTGACGGGGGAACTGGCGTAAACATTCACGATACTTGTGACAGTTGGCGGGAAAATAGTGGACTGATTTGACAGGTGAATGACATTGGAGGTTCGTCAACACTATATATTTTTTGACAGAAATAAACGGGAAGGATCTATGTCTATCTATCTATCTACCTAAAGGGATCTCTCTCTCTCTCTCTCTCTCTCTCTCTCTCTCTCTCTCTCTCTCTCTCTCTCTCTCTCTATATATATATATATATAATATATATATATATATATTATAATCTCAATGTTTATGCGTAGGGCGCTAAGTGATATATATATAAAAGTGATCAAAACAATACTGATAAATTACTGTGCAAACGGAAAGAAATTACGTGGGTATATGGGTTAATAAATGATTAACACAACCAAGGCAGTATGGAGATGGCCAAATAAATAAAGAACAAACTGATTAATCTGAACGCAATAAATAATCTCTCTCAAAAAAAAGAAGAAAAAAAAAGCCAGCTGGTCACTCTCACAACACCCTATGAATGCTACGTAGGAGAGATCAAGCGGTCTTGTCTTGTCACGCCTACACTATATAATAATATTAATTTCAACCTTGGCCCTAAACTGCAAACAAAAAAATAATATATATATAAACATAAATGAATAAAAAAACGTACATTACTAATAAGTCAAAATTAGATGTAGGCCTATAACGAGAAGTTTCACTCCCACCTTGGCAATGAAACCCACAAGACCACAAACTTTCACTTCTCAGCGTCTAAACCTTAAAAGGGGAAGCTGACATTATATCAGTATAGAAAGTTGTCTGTGAATCCGAACCCACAAGAGATTTACATCAAACCACCATATATAGAGGCCGTTTTATTTAACCTATGTTAGAAATGTGTGTTGATTATCATAAGTAATTTACTCTCGAAACTAGCATCCGACCAATAACCTTAACAAACCACAAGGTGAGGTTAGTTTCTCTTGTAAAAAGCGTATTTAGGTAATAAATTTACCTCGGTTCACTATCAACCAAGGTCTGTGTTTGCTTGGTGAGGTTAACCAATACGAACATTTTTTTTAGACGAAAACGAGAGACTTATCACTCCAATTAACCAATTATTGCATGCCTATCAGAACCTCCTGATTGATTCTGGTTCTCAACACCATTAATTTCCGAGTGCAAATAGGCGGGATTTATCGAACGTACCAACACCGGTTAAATACACCTTATCAACAACAACAACAACAAAAATCAAGGCATACCATTCTAACGTACTATCGACAAGCTGCGTCCTCCTGTGGCCTAACATTTCAAACGGGTTTCTGCCATTTCATCAGACTGTTTAGCGATCCATTCAAAGATCTGTTCTCGGTTAAGTTTTTAGACCCGCTTGCTGACCTTTTGCGGTGTGGCTCAGGCAAGGATTAGCCAATGCTCAGGGACCAAAACTTCTAGGAAACTTAAGGCTTGTACTTTCGATATGAAGGTATTTGCAAATTTTAAATAATAGTTGTATTTTCTGCACAAAAAGTAAATATGAACTGAAGACATGCATATAAAAAGAAATTAACCCATATATCTAAAATAAAAGATAATCATATGGCAATGAGTACACATTCGCAATGAAAAAAATATCTACCAAAAATACGATCCTAAAAAGATCAAATGCAACAACCAACAGACGACCAAGTACGAGGGAAAAATAGACATGTAATACAACAGAACCGACGACCTCTGGCAGCGACCACCAGACACCGGGAGCCACTTCAGCATTGCCGGCCGGCTGAAGTTGCATTCTTTTGCAACCCAGAGCTGAGTACGGTTACAATTCTTTCGCAGCCAGAGACCAGCCATCCTCTGGGAAATTGTCTACCAACAACGCCACGAAATCTCCCGGATACTGTAGAGTTAATGGTCGTTTTGTGGGTCTGATTGGCTTAACGACCAATTGGGAGTTGGAGAGTCCCTTAATGAGGTCGGTCTTGATGCATGGTCGCCAGAATCGTTGAATAAGTATTTGAATAAGTCTCTCTCTTACATGTACTTATTTATATGGGAGAGGGAGAGGGGGTGAGGGAGGGAGGGAAGGAGAAGGGGTGAGGAGGGAGAGGGAAAGGGGAGGGAGGGGGGAGAAGAGGGAGAGGAGAAAGGAAAGAGAGAGTAGGGCAGAGGGGGAAGGAGAGGGGGAAGAGGGGGAGAGAGGGAGAGAGAGAGAGAGAGAGAGAGAGAGAGAGAGAGAGAGAGAGAGAGAGAGAGAGAGAGAGAGAGAGAGAGAGAGAGAGAGAGAGAGAGAGAGAGAGAGAGAGAGAGAGAGAGAGAGAGGAGAGAGAGAGAGAGAGAGAGAGAGAGAGAGAGAGAGAGAGAGAGAGAGAGAGAGAGAGAGAGAGAGAGAGAGAGAGAGAGAGAGGGGGGGGTGAGAGAGAGAAACTTGTGATACACATCTCTTTATCAACTTAAGTGTGGCAACACTAATATAGGCCGGCTCATGAAGTAACCGTGGCTCCACGTAGTACTGTGTCAGCAAAGCAGAGTACGAGCAAAATACACTCCTATTCCCCCCGTCTCTCTCTCCTCTCCCTCTCCTCTTTTTCTCCCCCTTATCTCTTTCTCCCCTCCCTCTTTTCCCCTTTGCCTTCCTCTCTCTCTTTCTTCTCTCTCTCTCTCTCCTCCCCCTTCTCCTCTCTCTCTCTCTCTCTCTCTCTCTCTCTTCTCTCTCTCTCTCCATTTGCCTCCTCTCTTTCTCTTTCTCTCTCTTCTCCTCTCTTCTACTCTCTCTCCCTCTCTCTCTCCCTCTCTCTCTCCTCTCTCTCTCCCTCTCTCTCTCTCTCCCTCTTCCCTCTCTTACTCTCTCTCTCCTCCTCACTCTCACTCCTCTCTCTCTCTCTCCAATCAGCATTCAACGTCCACAGCACTCTTTCATTTATCTCCGTCTCTCCCTCTCTTCCTCCATTTTAAAAGCTCGGTCAAGCAAAACTCTTGGTTCCGCGCATGAGAGAACGACCACAGAAACCGTCGCCAATTTGACTTCGACTTCGACTTCGCAGGAGGGAAAAGTGGCTCTCGTTCTCGCTAATGGGATCTTGACATACATTTTTTTTTTTTTTTACTCTGAGTTATTAAAAATAGAATCGCTTTAATAGATAAATAGATATTAAAAAAAAAACAATCGTTATAGCAAATAGATATTAAACAAATCGTTATAACAAATAACTAGGATATTAAAACATATTTACACAAAAAATCGTTATAACATATTTAAACAAAAATCGTTATAACAAATAAATAGGATATAAAAAAATCGTTATAACAATCAAATTGGACATTTAAAAAAAATCGTTATAACAAATACATAGAGAGAAGAGAAGAGAAAAAATAAAGAAAGAGGTGTATTGTGCGCAGTGTAGGAGGGTGTAGCTATTTTTTTTCTTTGAAGAACAGCAAAACGGAAATGCCTCAGCGTAGAAGTTAGCGTGCCGTAATTTTCCATTTCCCGAAACCCTTACGACCATTAAGGCGGCCCCGTTGCATATTTCACAATAATCATTCATGGGCGAGGCGGACAAAGCTGGACGAGCGGGGTAATGCATTTCCACCCCCACCCCCACCCCACCCACCCCACCCCCGCCGCCCCCGTCCCCAAAGCCGTCGTGTGGCGGAATTTTCACATTGCCGAGTCGGAGGGAAATTACCATCCTGCATAATGGCGTCACCGAGATTTCAACATGTCAAAATTCGGAGGATGTTCTTGCTCCCCATTGTGTCTCCTCCTCGCTACACGGGGCGAGATAGGGTTCGTGGAAGGCGTGGAGATGCGCGTCTGATTGCGCAACAGCTGGATTCTGCCGGCCGGTTGCTGCGGCGGCGGTCCAAAAGGGCGCTCCTCTTCGGGCTCCTGCGCGCACGCGCCAGTCACGCGCGTGAACAACACATTGCTCTATTCACACGCACAAACACACGCCCGCACGAACGCGCGCACCACACACACGCGCACGCACGCACGCACACACAACATACACATACACACACACACACAAGCGCGCGCGCGCGCATACACATGATATCTATTGCGAGTACCGCAGGGGATGGGAAATATATTCAAGGCCAATGGAAACTTCCACTTTAATCACACAAATTAACAAACAACACACGAACTGTAGTGTATGTGTATATATATACATCATACACATATAATGTATTTAGCATCATTACCTATCTGTTTAGATAAACATGTACATGTGTGTATAAATAAATAAATAAATAAATATACATATATACATATATATATATATGCGCGCGCGTGTGTGTGTGTGTGTGTGTGTGTGTGTGTGTGTGTGTGTGTGGTGTGTGTGTGTGTGTGTGTGTGTTGTGTGCATGTATATATGTATATATGTATAAATGTGTGTGTGTATCATGTGAACGATGTTTCAGAATAATTTACATTGAAACCAGTCTGCCCGGGTTTTCCTAGTCCGGAGCTAGTTTGAACCGAATCATCCCTTCGCCGACTCACAATTCCACGCAAGAACTCCTTTAAAATTCTCCGGAAATGACACCCAAAATTTTTTTTTTTTTTTTTTTTTTTTTTTTTTTTTTTTTTTTGAGATATTATATAAAGAATACTGAACACCTAACTCCACAAGATGATTAACTCTCTACGTCATAACACGGCAAAAATATTCAGCGCGAAGTAATGACACATTCTGCACCAACAGCCTCGTTCGCTTGTTGTTTAAGCATTTTTATTCGAATATAATGAAAAAAATGTTTCTGCTGGCGTTTACGAGAGAATCAAATGACGATGTGATGCTGATGATGACGTTTGAGAAGTGATGTGCTTTCCTATGTTTGCGTGTGTATTCATTTGAGTCTTTTCTTATAATATATTAAGGGGTGTTTTCTTTCTTTGTGTTATATTACGTAACGTTGTGTGTCCTGTTGTCATGCTATGTGGGATGTGATGAGTTTTTTTTTTCCTATGAAAATAGTGATGAGTTACGGATTACTGTGAAAAAATATGTGACGTTATTACGTTTCCGAAATGCGTTTATGAAATTTGCCACCGTACTGTGTTTCGCTGTGGCGGGAAACGATGGAATAATGCCGCGGTTTGTAATTAAATATGGCATTTTTTGGTGCGACAGGTTACGAAATGCGCTATATTAAGCTAGGCACTGAACACCAGAACACCCCTGGGTCTGCGCCAACGCTAAAAGGGGCGTTAAATGCAAACAGAACTACAGATTTCTTACGTTTATGAAAGAACCAAACAGAGAACCCACGGAATCTTATTTACTCTGCGATGAGGAGTGACCGCCTTATGGTAACAATAAATATGGTTCATAGGTTGCCACAGATTGAGAATATAGCGGGGTGAGGGAGAGATAGCAAGATGGGGGAGGGGGAGAGGGAGAGGGAGAGGGAGAAAGAGATAAAGAAAAAGATAAATAAGAGGAGACAGGGGGAAGGGGGGGAGAGAGAGAGAGAGAGAGAGAGAGAGAGAGAAGAGAGAGAGAGAGAGAGAGAGAGAGAGAGAGAGAGAGAGAGAGAGAGACATTCCTGGTCAGGTAGTGAATTTCGGTAACGAGGGGAAGAGAGGGGAAATAGGACGCAAAGGAAGGGAAAGATGCAGCAGTGAGGGGGGGGGGGAGGAACGAGAGGAGAAGAGGGGGAGGGGGCGGGGAGAAAGAGGGGAAGGGGGAAAGAGGGGGGAAGAGGGGGGGGGGGAAAGCGAGGGGAGAGAGGGAGGGGGAAGCGAGGGGGAGAAGAGGGGAGGGGGGGAGTGAGAGAAGGGAGGAGAGGGGTGCGAACAGGTGAAAGTGAGGAGGAGAGAAGGGGAAGAGGGGGGGGTAGAACAAAGGGGAGGAGGGGTTACGAACAAAGTGGAGGGGGAGAGGGGGAGGGAGTGCGAACAGGGCAAAGTGAGGGAAATTGAGAGAGAAGGGGAGGAAGGGGGGGGCGGTGCGAACAGGGGAAAGTGAGGGGAAGTGAGAGAAGGGGAGGAAGGGGGAGGGAGTGCGAATAGGGGAAGGGGAGAGAGGGGAAGAAGAGCCAGGTTGTTGGCGCACGCGAGAGTGAGGTAAACGTGGTTTGGTTCTTTGCTGCCAAGTCTTGCTCTGCGCTCGCTCTCGTTTGCTGGCACACACAGCTGCCAACTCCGACCAAAGGGGCCGAAGGGAGGGTATCACGCCGACCTGGCAACGATCCCCGAGCGTGGCTTTTGTTCCATGCCCATTTCAATACGGCGTTTC